CCATGAATATATTTTTATGTTTATTTTTCTAATTGTTTAATACCATGAAAACCTGCCACAGATTTTGAAATAATTCCAAATTTCGGATTACATAAAAGAAGATATTGAAAGAGAAATATCTATATTATATGACATTGTAGGAATCACGAGATTTTATGAAGAACAAAAAATATAAAATTAAAATTGCAAGATATGCTACAATAAACATATTTTCTTAAATTGATTCTCACTTTTTTCGATTTCAAAACATTTGTTCATTCTCATGATATACTCTATATATTAAAATAGAAACATTGGAAACCAATTTTGATGATGTGTCACTCCCACATTTTTTCTCATCTTTTTTATTTTTCACTTATTTAATTTTTCTATTACGAATTTATAGCAATTTGATTGAATCATTAGTCCAAGGTGGAGTATGCTGAGATATGGATAATATTCAAGTCAACAGAGCTAAGAAGAAGTCAACAGAATCAGAGACTCTATTGAAGTTAGAGGGTTTCTTGTCAAAACCTAGTCTGATGTTAGGATTTCCTTGAATTTATAGCAATTTTTTCACCATTTGAATTTTGATAGTTAATTAACGCAAAAAAAAACCATGAAGGCAAATAAAATTCACAAAGCCAAAGAAAAATGGTCTAAGAGTCTACAGAAAGATTTGTTCGTATGTAAACTACAAAGAAAACCAAAACTTATTTGAATAACAACATAGATTAGTTACAAATGATAAACCTTCCTAGTGGTGTTACAAATGATAAACACGACGTACGTCACATAGATAACCAAAAAACAAACAAGCAACACTACGTCACAAAGATGACTAAATTTAAAAAAAAACACTACGTCACTACCTCGGATCTGCACGTATAAATAGAGGAATCGGTGCCACTCATATTCATCATCGAAATCACAAAAACACAACAACCTTATCGAAATCACAAGTACTTTTGAAAAGAAAGCAAGAGCTTGGGAAAACTTGTTATCATATTCAATCTCATGTTACACATATATATACAAGCTTATACGATAACCCCAAACTAATCTCATATTGTCATTATCCTATTTATATTAGACATAGGAATATACACATAATTATCCTAAGAAAAGGTTGAACCATCTAGAA